ACCCAACATAGAAACCTTAGCTCCCACCTTAATTTTTGGTGATATGCGTCCCATATCCGAAGTTGATAAAAAAAAAATTGATAAAAAAAAAAAAAGATATATAGTAAAAAAAAAAAAAAAAGCTATATAGTAAAAAAAAAAAAAAAAGACTATGCTAGGTTAAACGAGGTTCACAACAATATAATTTCACTACTCAAAACCCTTCAGGTAAGAAATTCCGTACTTTATTATAGTGTTTTTAGTTTCATGACTTTTAGCCTTGCACACTTTGTAACTAATATTTATTCCTCTTTATACGAGAAACTTTCATTGAACTTATTTTTGTGTGCGAAAATTTTATATTTTCTTTTTTTACCCTTTTATATACTTACTATTACATCATATTTTACGATTTGGGTATAAAATTATAATTTTTTTAAACTTGATTGTGAATGTACTTGTGATTGGCGTAATTTGTGTTACTTAAGCTAATGCCAAAAATTAACTTTAATTTTACTCGAATATTTTATATGAAGTCTACATCAAAACTTTTTTTACATGCTGTGCCACTTAAGAAAAATGTAATCTTATAATATAAATTCGATTGGATTTTTAATTAAGTAGAAAAGTGATTTTACTTACTGTCACAATGTAGTACAAAGTACTGCCGGTAGTACAGTGAAATCCTATCCATTAATATATTAAATTTTAATATAAAAACTTTTTAAAATTATATATTAATTATTTAGATTCAATCTAATTATAAAAATGTTTAAACAAATGAACTTGTAAAAAACACAATTAATAATGATAATTTTTTTATAAATTGTCATTATATTAATCAAATTATACAACCAATAAAAATATGTGTTGAAAGACTTGAAGCACGTTCTGCAACATTAGCAGACAGCTATATTAATATATTAAAATTGGCTGCGGCAATTTACCAACTTCCAGAAATAAATCCATTTAAATTACAAATAATAAATATTTATAATATTCAGTATGAAGAACTTAATCATGAAGCATATCTTTTAAGTTATTATTTACATCCATCATATCATGATAAATAAAGTTAAATTTATATAAAAGTTTACATTATAATTTTATTAATAATATGATTAATATAATTATATAATTAATTATTAGGATATGGTCTTAAAAACCAAACATTTCGTTTAGCATGTCTTATAGCTAGTGATTATTGGAAAGCATTTGGATATGATCAAGCAGATTGTATTGAATTGTTGGAAGAATTTTGTAAATATATCTGTTATAGAGAACCTTATGATATAGAATTTAATCCTCAAAAAGAATCTGCACTTACATGGTGGTTAACACATAATATACAATACTATACAAGTCTAAAAGATTTAGCTATTAAAATGTTTTCAATTGTACCATCACAAACAGCATGTGAATAGAATTTCTCTGTTTTAAAATGGTTTTATGGAGATTGAAGAAATCGACTTACAATTAATCGTGTTGAATCTATGGCCAAATTGCGGATGTATTGGCTTTTAGAAATCCAAAAGAAACTTGAACATTATGGAAAAGATTTAACAGAGGAAGAATTATGGGCATGTGCTAATATAACAACAATTCCAATTGATTTATCCTTACAAGATATATTTAACACAAATAATATATTCAATAATAATGAGCCTTATATTACAAATCAGAATATTCCTACTTCTGTTTTTACTCCAGTGAATTCTAATACATTTATAACTTCTGAGACAAAGCTTAATGTTAAAGATATAGCAAATCTCACTTTGTCTTTTTTTAATTTTAATAACATGGAATCGCATTATGAGAAATTTAAATTACAATCGAGAACAACGTTAAGCAAAGGCCGTGGAAATATGAACTTTGAAGTATCAAATATTGTTGATGAGGTCTTAGAAAATGAACCTGACGATAATTGGCTTTAAAAAATATTATAAAATGCAAATCTAATTTAATTAAATATAAAAACAATACAGTTTATTATTGTTTTATTGTAAGCATATGCATCAATATAAATGCTAATTTAATTAAATATAAAGTTTATCGCAAGCATACGTATAAAGTTTTATCAGTAGTTTTATCAGTTTATATTTTGATATTTTTACGGTTTAATCGAAAGTGTTAAAAATATAAACAGTATAAACCTATCACGTAGCTAGTTTATATTTTTATCAGGTTTTGTCAGGAGTAGTCTTGGCATCCCTAGTCACAACATAATCAATCTATTCAGAACAAAATCGGAGTCTCCCCATTAAAAAATTTTTATAAGGATAGGTTTTCGATGGGCGGAATGTGACGTACCCGGATGATCTAAAAGGAGATTTATGGTAGTTGCTAATTAGTTTTTCGACTAACGATTCGGGTCACGCCCTAGAATTTACTTACTTCCAATCGTAACACGAACATATGAAATTTCTTTAATTTTAGGATCAAAATTAGGGTCATTTTAGGGTTATATCCATTTCACTTTGACAATTCTAATTTTTTGTTTTTATTATTCTGAATTTAATTATTATATCATGTTGCAAAAAAGTCTAAACATAGATCTACTTAAATAGTGAGGGACATATGAATCAGATACCGTGACTTCACAGCATTATGTTAGGATTACTAATGGTGGGAAAACTATGATTAAAGATCATGCATTTAAACAATGTACGTTCTATATTGTAATTATAGATAATGTGTAATGCAAATAAATTAGATGCCAATGGCATCCCGTGGCAATATCGCCATAGGTTTTTTTTTAAAAAAAAAATTTTATTATATTATGCAATTTTCTATTAATTATAAAACTAATAATACTATAATTGTGTAAATTAGTGGTTTAGTTTGTATTTAAATTATATTGATCTACTGTTATTTTCATTATTTTTAAGATAACTAAGAAAGATGCTTGACGTAACTATTTCTGAATAGGCGAAATTACATGCCTGATGAAACTGTAGATAATTGACGATATCGTTGGCGATTGATGAAATATTAAAATATAGTTAACCATCTTTTATTGAGATTCTTATAACAACCTCCGAATATATCCAATATTGAACTTTTTTTCCAAATTATCGTTTGAAACCAGTAATTTTTTTTAAATGATACATCATAAATTTTTTTTAGTTCGTGATATAATAAAATTGACTAAGTAAAAAAAATTTTAACAAGCTCATATGAAAAGTAATTTTTAATTTTACATTTCTAAAATCGATAATATTTCTTCCTGAAACGTATGTTAATTGGATGATCGATAAAAATAGAAGATGGGTAAAATGATAACGAAAAAAAGATATTGATTTCGTATAGAACAATTTATGTCAATCATGAAAGGGATTATACATCAATCATCATAGTATCGTCATAGGGGCTTGTCAATCGTCAATTCATCATTCAGAAATTGCTTGGCATTAATCATTAATGTTAAAGTTCCGTCATTCATTCTTTTCGAGAAATGTGCTAGCATTTTAATTTCATTGATCTATATTTATATCGGAATTTTCTGGGACCTTATATTAAATTTGGTTATCATGCCAAATTTGTATTTAAAAGATTTAATTGTAGTTAAGATCACATATTTAAAAAATTTAGCTTTTATTATATATAAATATAAAGCTCCCTTTAACCTTCAATAAGCCTTGTTCAATGGTAAGTTTCTTTTATATATGATCAATTCGCGAACAAGTTCATTTCATATACCATTATTTTAATAACTTGCACCAATCTTAAAAATAATTCTAGTCATAACCATAACAATAATGATAATGATTACTTTGTCAGTGAAATGAGCTATTGATAGAATAAATTATGAAATGAACTTATCTATGGATTGTTAGTCTGTACAATAAATTTATCGTTCTATAAATAAAGTATCTACAAGTGACTGTCGGTCAAGTGAGCGGGACCGATGTGCCTTATGAGGGTCAACCTTAATTAGAAAATTAATGAATATCAGTTTAACCTAATACTATTTTTGATCAAATTTTTAAATATAATATTTCTTAAATAAGTAAATTTTTTTGCATGTTCATCTTTTGAAATCATGATTTTTGTACTAAAAATGACCTATGATTATTGCATAAATCGTATGATAAAATGATCATACTATAAGAATAAAAAGCATCTTTTAAATTAACAGGCAAGTAGATCGAGTAATGCTTGGACTAAACCTCTTAAGGAACTTTTTTTAATATGTAAAAGCTTGTTTCTTGAGTTATATTGGTCAACGGATACAGAGCATAGGATCTAAAATTAGTTAAAAGTGATAAAAGGATAAAATTTTAGTAGTACGTATATTACCCAGGCTGGATGGTTAAAAGTACACGATCATCAACCGAAAAATATAAAATGAATCCATTCTTCAATCGAACATCTTTGTTATTTTCAAAAAAAATACATATTTATTAAATTAGTATTAAATATTATTTTCATCAAGTGAAAAACAATGTATTTAAACGTTAAATCTGCCTTCATTACTTTATTCTTAATCTCTTTAATGTATACTTGTTGTGAAGTAAATGCTACCGCTATACCCAAAATTGAAGGTATTTAGAAGTTGAAAGTTTTTATTAATAATTAACTGAATATTAATATTTCATAAATACTGTTTATATGGAACTAATAGAGCGTGGGACTGATTGTGGAGGTAACTAAATTTTAATTCCTTTCTTTAAATAATATTTGCTTTCGCAATCTATCTTAAACCACTATTTTTTCAACCAAGGATTCAGTTTTGATCATCCACCAGCGGAAGGCTCTAAAAAGAAAGAAATAGTTATAATGAATTCTACTACCCTTACATCTAACTGGACTACTCAAGCTGGGTCAGATGTCGATTATGTTATAGATTTTGAACTTTTCACAAGCAATGGAAGTTATTTAGGTATTTTATGGAATATAGGTGCTAAAATGACGAATCATCTTGCAGTAGGGGAAGTTGAAATAAATGTACCTGAAAATATAAAGCTCCCTGCTACTTTCTTGGCCAGAAGTTGGGCAAACACGACTTCCGGATCTCATTGTATTGCTTTAACGTATGCACTTTGTTTTATAATATCAAATTGATTTTTTTTTGGCAATTTTTTTACTAATAATTATATTTATAAATAGTAATAACTTCAAGATCATTCCTAATAAATAATTACTTATATAAAATAAGGTTAACAAAATTTTTTATTTACAAATCGTATTGGTAACAAAACGAATTGTTAACTTTGTTTGTTCTGATTACCTTAATATTGTTTGTCTCATGCTTTATAAATTTGTATATTTTGAACTTATCTTTATTCATAAATTTATAAACTTTGAATTTATCTTTGTCCGTAAATTTGTAAACTTTGTATTTATCTTTAATAAACAGAGTTAATTACTGAGTTGTGATTTGTTAAAGAAACTTAAAAATCTAGATAAAAGAGTTGTTCTTTATAAAGTAGTATAAGAAAAAAAATTTCTATTTTATAAAAAATCTAGAGAATACATTAGGGCCACTTAAATAACCCGACATTTAGTCAGACCGATCTGTCTTCTCGTAGAATCTTTCATCCCAAATGATTAAGATTTATCCATAGTTTTACTTTTAAAAATGCGTCCCCAGAAGAAAATGAGAGTTTCGAAAATTAGTGAATTTCATAATAAATATTTACTTCTAATGTAAAACTTAATCTATTTGAGATGTGGCAAATACAACAGGAGGAACCGTCGATGTTACACTAATGATTTTTCACCCGGTGTGCAACATATAAAAAAATCATTTTACAATACCAGATCATTCCGCTAGTACATGTAATAATTATAATCCCACACCATTTTATTATAATAAAAATGGTGTGGGATTATAATTATTACATGTACTAGCGGAATGATCTGGTATTGTAAAATGATTTTTTTATATGTTGCACACCGGGTGAAAAATCATTAGTGTAACTTCGACGGTTCCTCCTGTTGGCAAATACCAACAAAGTGTATGGCTTAGTGGGAGAAAGAAATGACGTACGTACGAAAAATCTAATTTCCGATTGGTCAGCGTGATCATAATTGTATATTCTTCACCCATTATTAAAATCACTATCCATCTCCGAATCTGAACTGCTAAAATGAACACCCACAGTTGAAATTGCTGTTAAGTTACGAACTTACACTACAAAATCCCGTTGATAAAATCTTAATCATTAAGCACTCATAAACTTACTTGGTTAAACTTCTAATTTACCGACCGCTAAAATTAACACATCAATGTTAAAGGCACTAACCGACTTACTATTGAAACATAAACCATTTTTAAAATCATTAACACTCATTGTTAAAATCACTATTCCACCGTTGAAATTATTAATCACCCATCGTTGCAAATCACTAACTTACCCATCCACTTTTGAAATCACAAAATATAGAAAGTAGACAAATAAATCTTCACAGTGTTTTAAAGATTAGTATAGATTGTCATTATTCATAAAAACATGTTAACCACAATCTTTTAATGTTCATTAACCAAGTTATGACGTACAGTACATAGTTAAAGTTTTTGTAAGATTCATCGACAATCTACCTCTAGCCAACGCTAAATTAGTCTACAATAATCATGACTAAATTTTTAAAGAATTGACTAAAATTATATTATTTTATTGATATATATTTAATTAAATATATTTATTAACCCAAGTAAAGCTCCTATTCCTGGTTTTGCGCGACTGCATCGCTCAGCTACCTAATTTTTTTAAATTATTTTATGCGGCATTGAATAAAAAGATTGTAATCAAAATAATGCCTGGGGTATAGGTTAAAAATTTGGCCAGAATTAAGCCTAATTTAGGCCAAATTAAGCTTAAATTTTTAACCTACACCTGGGCGCTATTTTGGACAATACGGTACAGTAATCTTTGATTTGGCTTTTTTGAAGTTTTTTTTTTATTATACCAGTACGAATAACTTCAAAAGTATGAATTACCTAAATTTTGAATATCAGTTTGCACTGAGGGTTCAGATTTATAAAATATTTAAATACTTGTTATCATAATTTCTAATCACTAAACTTTTGTTTTTCCGTTAATTAATAAAGGTTTCTAATATTCAATCAAGATTTTACAGATTAAAAAAAATTCATAATAATAGGTGCTAATGAAAAAAAAAGAAATCTTTGAATTCAATTTATTATACTTTTTTAAATTTAATGATTCAATATACTACATATTATCAATATTGTATCATACATATAATGATAAGTTTGCTGATATGCATTAAAATAATAAGAAATCTTCATTAAGAATTGACTCAAGCTATTTTTTAATTGAATAATGACATACGGAAATTAATAATTGACATAATTTAGAAATGACGCATAACATATTTATAACGTATCTAAATAATTAGATATATGAGAGGTCCCGATGGGTGAAAAAAAAATTTTTGTAGAAACTTTATTTTTGCAAAAATTAGATCACTTAGAATGCAATATTAAAAAACTGCAGAAAAAATTGTTTGCCCATCACCTTATGCTATAGGACCCCATTGATAAATTAAATATAAATATTGGCGTATAGCCATAGCAATCGATATCGAAAAATTTTAATTTATCGATACGGTAATTTAAATTCATATGGTACTTAAGATTCATATTCTTATATAATTCGATATAGTTTGGAAAAAAATTGTGTGAATCACGGAGATTCGAAGAATATGTTATAAGGTGAAGCGAAAACATTAATTCATCCGTTAAATTTACTCTCGTTTCATAGAAAGTTAAGCTACCCGAGCTTTTAAAAGAAATAGTGTAAACCGTATAAAAAAAATTATTTATCGTGTAACTATATCGGATAATCTATTAAATTGGACAGTTGCACCTGTTTGATTCATATGGCATTTTGGTATTCATGCGATTTGTAATATGTTGTACGGTTCATTAATCACTAATATGTACTAAGGTCTATGATAATGAATGTTAGTCACCTGATCTTAAATTAGTATACAGAACCAAAAACTTATTAACGGTCGAAAAATCATTTGGCATTTTTTTATCATGCGTCCAAGAATTTACAAAATACAAACGTCGCCATTATCGAGGAACAAACATTTTCACCGAATTTTTTATAATGAACTTTTCACTGAATTTTTCATACCGAATTTTTCGCCAGATTCTCTATAATGAACAGTTTCTTATAACGATTTTAAAGCAATTTATTATAACTATCGGTTCAGAAATAGTAAATTACTCTATAAGGAACTTTTAAGGATTTTTATTACAAGAACCGCTAGTTCATTATGAAGAGAGTCGACAGTATTTCTATTCATAACTAAACTCTTAAGAAAATAATTATAATTTTTTTCTGGACGTGAATACATTATCTGACCTTTACATTGCAAAAGTTTAATACATGTTCATTATTAATTGGTATTATTTGTTTTTATGTTTTCTATTTCTGTATTTAGAATTTATTATTATTATTTTCCTTTTATCAACTACTTTAATGTCTTTATACTTACTTACCTTAATGACTTTTAATACATTGTCAAAAAAAAAAAAAGTCTCCGAGTAAAAGAAAGAAGAACAACGGATAGAGAAAGCCTCATGATCAATAATCCAAACTTTTACGAAATACGCTATTTTTAATTAAAGTATATTATATGGAAGTATGAATAGAACCGTGGAATAAATCAGATATTGCCCGCGAAGTGAACAATAAGTTAAATCAGCAAACATGCGATTAGGTCATAATTGAGTATCAAGTAATATACCGTGTATAGTATGCAAACGTATATGTCGTACGTCGAAATGGAATCATCGTGGATTTGGAAACCACATAGGTTGATTCCAAATAAACATAGGTTATATGTTGCGAACCATATAGTTACATCAAATTCTTGCTACTTTGTCAAATCCTTGTCACTTTGTATTACTTAAAATATAGTTAAGATAGCGTGGTGACATGTTCAAAGAATTTTGAAAAATTACTACTTCTCATCGAATAGGCCGAAATTCATGAAAAAAATTTCATGACCTTGTAGAACCTATTTAATAGTACAAAGTTATGAATTTCTTTTTTGAAAAGTGACCTTGTAACAAGTTCCTTAGCGATTTTGGATGTCTTTAAATGGTTGCACCATAAAAGAATTCTAAAATGTACTTTAGTTGCCAAGGAATTCCAATCAAACTTACTATAAAATTAAGTGTATTCTAAATTATTTTATCATGTTTTTACTGGATCTTGTAAGCCTTAATACAAAAATCAAAGTCATCGCGTAATTTAGGTATTGTTCTTGCAAAGTGCATCAGCTAATGCTTTTCCGCCTTTTGATCCAAGGTTATTATTAATTAAAGATAGAAACATTAAGGTAGTGCTCTTGCAAAGTGCATCAGCTAATGCTTTTCCGCCTTCTGATCCAACGTTATTACAGCTTAAATCTAAAGAAGTTAAGGTAGTGTTCTTGCAAAGTGCATCAGCTAATGCTTTTCCTACTTCTGATCCAAGCTTATTCCAACCTAAATCTAAAGATGTTAAGGTAGTGTTCTTGCAAAGTGCATCAGCTAATGCTTTTCCGCCTTTTGATCCAAGGTTATTATCACTTAAAGATAGAGACGTTAAGGTAGTGCTCTTGCAAAGTGCATCAGCTAATGCTTTTCCACCTTCTGATCCAACGTTATTACAGCTTAAATCTAAAGAAGTTAAGGTAGTGTTCTTGCAAAGTGCATCAGCTAATGCTTTTACGCCTTTTGATCCAAGGTTATTCCAACCTAAATCTAAAGACGTTAAGGTGGTGTTCTTGCAAAGTGCATCGCTAATGCTTTTCCACCTTCTGATTCAAGTTTATTCCGACCTAAATCTAAAGACGTTAAGGTAGTGTTCTTGCAAAGTGCCGTTTATTTTTTCCGATTCACAATTCTCAAAAAGATACCAAGGCGAAGAATTTTTTTTATCTTCATCAGTATGCTGACTGTTCTTGAGAATTGTTCATAAAGTTCTAATGCTTTGAGAAATTTGCCTTGATTCAAACATTCTTGTGCTTCTTTTCTCATATCCTCAATGTTACCTTCTGCCATCAAAGCGTTTGAACTTATTGTATCAGGCAAATAAAGAGGAGATGAAGTCGTAATGTCGACAGAATTTACGGGTGCGGGAGCGATTGGAATATCTTGACGACTTGAGGAAGAATCGCTATTTTGAGTTAATGATTCACTAGGATTATGTTGACTCAAAGTTTCGTTAGGGATAAGTTGTTTCAAAGTGTCGAGAAGTTCTTTTGCTTCTGGACGATTGACAGGATCGCTGTCCCAGCACCGTTTATAAAGTTCGATATATGTAGGTGGTGTACCTTTTATCGGTTCTTCTCTATTTCCTTGACATATGTGAAAACAGAGGGCCATTTTTGATTCAAATGTTTGAAACGGTGGTCTTCCACTTGAAATTTCCCAACGGACTACTCCAAAACTATAGATGTCAGATTTCTTATCACGCTTATATTTATGATCGATAAGGCATTTAGGTTCCATATATGCCGGCATTCCATGAACGATTGAATTTGAAATCATGGACATTTCATTTATCTGCTTTGAAAGCCCAAAATCTGCAATCTTTGGTTGTTTTTGATGAATTAAAATATTCTTCGAATGCTATGAAATATTATAAACATTTAGCTTCTGTGATTAGAACTCATAAATATATCAAATAATAACTTACAAAATCTCTATGAATAATATTGTTATTTGTAAAAACAAAAGACTCAGCACTATTTCCTCAGCAAGATGTAAGGTATCTGCCCATTGTAATTTTGCGAAATTCGTTTTTAGATATTCTCGTAAATTTCCGTCATTAGCGTGTTGCAAAACCAAATTATAATGCCCATTATTTTCTATGTAATTAATATTACTGTATGAATCAAACCATTTAATATTTTACATTTAAAAATGTTTGCCTATCTATTTACCTTTCGTAACCCCATAAAACTTGATAATATTTGGATGGCAATCAACTTTCCGTAAAAGTTTAAGCTATAATTTCAGATTGCAGTTAAATAAAATTACAATATTATACCAGGAGCAATGCAAATTTTAATATAATGACCTCTTTAATAATACCTTTAACAAGTTTTTCATCTAAATCTACATCGGTATCGACTTTAAGACATTTGAGAGCAACCATTAAATAATTATCTTTCCATTCGTATTTAAAAACATTTCCAAAGCCACCGGTGCCGATTATTTTGCAGCCTGTAAATTTGTTGTTTCCAAGCTTATTAATAAGTCCCTCAGAAATAGCTTTTTCAAGCCATTCTTCAGGTGCGTTTGCCATGATTTTTTGTGTGTTTTCCATTATTCTTTGTATGCCAAAAAATATGTATTCTCTATACGTACGTACATGTCATTTATACTTACTGTCCATATGATAATGCTACGTGACACAGCATATGGATGATCGTATCTTGTGACTTTGTTGTAGCACCCCGAATAAATTGCAATATATTTATGTCATAAATTTTCCGGCCGCTTTAAAACCGGCATTTTACAATAGAGTTTTGTGCACTGATTAGTATTATATAAATACGGGAATGTGCCTTGATTTCAGCTTATGCTTTCTATATTTATGCACCGTATTATCAGTTATTATTACAACTAATCACCTACTTTTAATAATCACTGTGTTTCAATCGGAGATTTTCGCCAAGAATTAAATGCAAAAATCATGATTTCGTTCATAAAGATTTAGGGTGCTCTCAAGCTCCTTAATCAATAGATCGGTGTATAAATTTTCATTAATAAAAAATATCTCAGCTGGTCAAAAGTGTTTATCATTGCGGTTAAAAAAAAAGATAGTCTGCGCCCATCTTTTTTCTTTATAGAGTTGCGCTGATTGGTCAAAATATATCAATGATCGAGACCATTCAAGCACTTTATGATCAAATTACATATTTTATTTTTACAATTAAATTATATATTTTATTTTTATGATCGAATTACAATATTTTATATTTCATTTTATTTTTTTTATCCTTTGCACTGAATACACACCTGACAAATATGGATCTTTGTCATCAGCAACAAATTATTTTTTTTACTTCTTGTACTAGAAACTTTCACAACAAATAAAAAACATCAAAAAACTTAAAAAAAATAATTGATACTTATTATCTTCTTACCTACACTCATATGATAAGCAATGCAACTATTTTAATTGCATTTTCTTTACCTAATATAAGAGTGCAACATCAACAAAGGTCTAAAACTAGAGGATTCTGTGTCAATGTTTTTCTATACTTGACTGATAATTATGGTTATAATTCTTTTTAGCAACATTTTTGTATTATTCTTGTTACTTTTAATACTATTGTTAGATAATTACAAATATATTTAATTTTTAGTTGTAAAGTTTTAAATACAATACCCATTTGGAAATAAATTATAATTGTATTATGGTGATTTGTTAATAGAACAAAAATAAGAGTATTAGAACAAATACTTGGTATAAGTCAAGAATTAGTATGTCATTTTATAGATTGATTTTTGAAGACTTTATTAGATTTAGAACAAGATAGAATAATATAGTTATGAGAAATAAAATTAATAACAATAACACAAGGGTTTGAATATGGAATATCAGACTTAGAACATAAATTATCTAATGTAGTTGGTACAATAAATGGATCACATATTCCTATTCACCTTTCTTATAAAAATGGTATATGATTTGTAAATTAAAAAAACTTTTATTCTATTAATCTTCTTGATATAGTGGATTATTTAGGATGTTTTATATATATTCATATTAGTATAATAGATTATTTTTTTATTTTTATTTATTATTTTTTATTTATTTTTATTTTTAATTTTTTTAATATTTATATTTTAATTTTTAAAAGGAGTATATATGATATGTAAGTATTTTATCATTCTTCTTTGTATCATGTAATTTTTCATAATCCTGAACAGTGAGTTCTAGGTAGTACCTATATAATTGCTGATTTAGTACACCTATTTAGGACTTATTTAATAAAACTATTCTTTGATTATAAACAATTAACTCATAAAAAATAATATTTAATAAAGTTTTATCTTCAATATAGATAATCATTAAATAAGGATTTAGATATTTAAAAAAATGATGAAGAATTTTAAATAAAGTATATTGTATAGATTTAGAACAAATAATTAGAATTATTTATGTGTATTATATTTTATACAATATTTGTATCAATAATAATGATATATTAAATAAAGATGATAATCTTAATATTAGTGAAAATAATGAGGATTATGAAGAAATTATAATCAATAAAGAAAGAGAACATATAGTAGAAATACAGAAAAGAAATTATTTAGCAAATATTCTTATAGATTTTTATTAATTAATACATATACAAATAACTTAAAAATATATTATTAGATATTTAAAAATATACTATATCATTAAAATTTGTTTAAAAATTACTTAAAAATTTCTATTTGCTCATTGTGTTGTTGTTGTTGAATTTTACATATATGTAAATATTACTCTTTGATTGTCTTGACAATAATATTTATTTGTTCTTTAATAAGACTTTGAATATCTTCAAAAAATTCTTTATTTTCATTAATATAAATATTTTTTTATCTTTTAATATTAAACTATATTTATAAAATAATAAATATAAATTGTATATATATATATGTGCTAAGAAAAAAAATAAATTATTACCTTATCATCTTCATAATTATTAGTACTAACTTTTTCTTTACATTTAATTCTATTAATTGAGTCACTTATAATTGATATTTTGATACTTGGATCATTCTTTAAATATTTATCTATATTTTTAAAAAATTCCCAATAATTTTAGATTGTTTTCTTATCTGTATTTTTGATAATATCTTTGATATTATGATATTTTTGATGAAAAGAATCTTATTTTTGTTAAAATAAAGTTTTGAAATACTCTTTTAAAATAATACTTAAAGTAGAATCTTGAATATTCAAAACAATTTTGTACCAAATATGACCTTTTCATGTAGATCCCTTATATGCTATAATGTTTGTTGATTTTTTCTAATTTCATTAATTAATATTCTAATTTCAGATGATGTCCATGAATTATTTTATTTATTTCCTGAAGTAGTATTAATGTTAAATAAATCATCTATACTTTGTAAATTTTCCTGATTTGTAATAGAAGGTTGACTATTGTCAATAATAGAAGACTTTAAAAAGGTTATCTAAAAATTTTTTATACAATTCACAATTTTTTTAAAAAAATTTAATTATATACCTCTTCACTCTCATTATTAGTCTTGTTTAAAACTAAAGGATTAAATAGTTGTGCAGAAAGATAATGTTGTTGTAACAGCATATAAAGATTAGAAAATCTGTAAAAGGAGTGACAGAAGTATTGTGAGTAACTGAAGGAATAATGGAAACATTTGGAATAATAGAAGAAGTAACGCGCATGCTTGAAGTTGTTGGGACAGATACATTCGAAGTTGCTGGTAAAGGTAATATTTTTTTTGATTGTTGGGATGATACTTTTTTTTTTTGTTTGTCGACATAATAATTAATCGTAATATGAAAAAAATTCACTCAATCGTTGATCGCGATCTTTATACTAATTGATTGTATTAATTGAGCGTCATCTTAATCACTATCTAATTACACTCAGGGAGATGCTTGAGAGCACCCTTAATCAACGGATACTTGGATCTTTAATACAAGTCTAGTGATTATACGTACTATATTTTTGGTTTGAGCGTGATTACATTTCACAGCTACCCAAATCATAGATATTGGATACTGTTTGTTTGGTACTATTAACTAGAGATGCAGCGAATCGTCTCATAATGTCCAAATGATGTTATGGCTTAAGCTATAAATAACAAAGTTTATGTTACAACAATCTCTATCTTAAGTTATGAATTACATATGTCGATGTTTTGGGCTAACCAATTTATATATCATGCGTGGCGTTATGCAAAAATTTTATATACATACTTATATTACATTTATGAGTGAAAATTTTCTGGAAAAATATAATATAGTAAAAATTTTCTTTTTTATTATTATTTTTATTCTATTTTATTTACACATCCACCTAAATTGACATTTGAAACTCATAAGTAATACAAAAACTATTGGTGATAACAAACCTATTCTGCAGAAATCACAAACGGGTGACGAAGCTGCGCATATGCCAGTTTCTAGTTAAAATTTTTTGGATTCTTTAATACAAATTGTTGCCAGTATGTATATACATCAGTGTATATTTAAAAATAAATCTGATTTCATGTTTTTTTGTTCTTTATAACTTTATTATAACTTCTGATTTAAAATAATAAGTCATAACGGTTGTAACGTTAAAGACTATACATCTAATCAAAAAATCGCAGGGTATGCATAAATTTTATATGGTCAAAACCGATTTGTATTTTTCTTTCTTTTAGGATGAGTTGAAAACATATTATTATTTCTTCATTCGGTCCAATCTACGCATTTCAAGGCGATTTCCAAACAGCACATGTTCCAATCCATCACAACCGATCTCATAGTCCAAATACAAACGTCTGTAAAATCCAATCTTCTTAACATGATCCAACACCTTCAATCCCAGGACTGAGTTCTTGTCACCACTAGTATTATGTGCGTTAGATCTCAAATTTCTATACCATTCTCGCTTTATATAATAATTATGCCCAATCAACCTTCCATAATTCGTCTCCTTCCTCATCTTCATCCCATAATCCTCGGTCCAAGACATTATTGACTGACTTTTTGTACTTTTAATATCATCATCAACCCTCAAACATTCAATTCGCTCCATTATCTTTTCAAACTGTTCACCTAATCTTATATCACTGTCAAACTTATTTTTAGCCAACGATTTTCCACTTTCGGCATGTTTCGTATTCCACTTAAGTTCATCCTTTTCTGTGTTTATTCCGTCTTGATGGCAAAATATGACGTTACGCTGTCCATTTGGACTAGCATTTTCAGCATACTTCAAGTCACATTCAAGCACTTTCATATGACTTGGTTTAACTTCTAATGAACTATTCGAATTGACAAGTAATTCTTCAAACTCATTCATATGTAATGACTTATATCCATCCTTTTCATCTTTCGACGCTCTTTCTGGTACTACATCTTTTATCTTAGCCAGGTACAAGTCTCTTTCTTTCGTGTCTTCTTCTCTGATCACACGTTGATAACAATGTCCAACATCATTTATTCTTTCGGCATTATTCATATCAGGAGATTTAAGATAATAAAATGACGTTTGATTATCGTCCCTTTTGTCACCTATCTCGAAATATTGTGATCGAATTTCTGGTCGTTCGAAATGAGCCATGATCGGTTGCCTCTCGTGGATAAATCTATCATTATCAGAACGGAGTTCAGGTATTTCAACTGTTTGATTCTCTTCACTAACATTTAACCAACTTTCATTTTTATAGCGATATTCACTTTTATATGCTCCTTTCACATGATTAACGTCAGCTGAATTTCGATAACAATCAAATAATTCATCAGCCTTGATTCCATTTTCATTGCGATAGCCGAGATTGTACGTTTCATCAACGTGACCTATTTCTGAAGATTCTGGGTGGTGAGTATATGACATATATTCATCCATTTCATCAAATTGTTTCACATCTACATCATTATTCACGAATCTCTTGCACTTATATATTAGATTTCTACTTATCAGTTACACATGCGACTATAAATTAAATGTAATGCTACACGAGCCCCAATTTAAGCAAACCCGAATTCCTGAGGTACCGAAATACACTATGACAATTTTTTGGTTAAATTGATTTTATCAAAACTTTCTTCAATCGTCAATAGTTTTTGTCAATAGCCAAAATTTCGTCAGATGAAAACATTTCATCATTTCAAATTAGTTCCGTCAAGCACGATTATGCTGTGTTAAGGAAAAAAAAAACCATGAAATTTGAGAATTAATTGTGCAGTATATAACAAATGTTGTAATACGTTTTGTATCTTATCAGATTCTGGAAAATCATTTTACGTTATCAGATTTTAGTCGGTATAACAAAATTCTATAATGCGTAAGTACGTACATTATCAGATTTATTGTCATTCCAAATGCATCAAAATTATCAGATTTATTGTCATACCAAATTCATCAAAATTATCAGATTTATTGTCATACCAAATGCACCAAACTTGATTCATACCTTATCAGATTCTAATTCTCTAGCTAATCAAATTGCGCAAATTATGCTCTATAAAGTTTTCAAGTTAATCTATATTTGCAATTAGGAATGCGTATCTAGTACCTGCACTACGTAAAAAGTAAAAATAATTATCTATGGTTTTCCTTATCTAAACTAAAAGGAATACAAATTATTTGTTAAAGTAACTATTACAATATATTTCTTTTTCTTTTTGTTTTGATGATTTGATCTAATAATGGAAAACATAACACATGATCTTTAAGCGAATATTCTTTTTGTATCTCATAGATAAGCCAAAAATAAAAAACTAAAAAAAATAAACGCATATTCGATGTTATCAGAGTTAAGCACAAAATTAGATCCAAAAATAACGAATTGATCACAGTAATTTCTATAGCAAATTATTAAACTTTACATATCTGTTAAGTAAGATAAGATAATATCAAAATTATTATTGATTAGATCATGTCCTCAACTTTTTGACCAAATTGATAATGAAAATTTTGATGCTGTCCTCTATTATAACGTTTTCATTACTTTTATTACAATCCCATTATCATTCTCAAGGAAATTTTCATCGTACACTAACTACCTAAACAGAAGCCATGATACTGAAAAACTTATGACATTACTATCTCTAAAGAAAATTAGTACCTGACGGTTTTACTCGAGAAATATACACTATAAATGGACGATTTCCCAGTCCTCTCATTGAAGTTAATAAAGGTGACATTTTAATTTTTAATGTCAATAATTATTTAGAAGATGAGACAACGATTCATTCACATGGAATGTTTCGACATGAGACTCCTTGTTACGATGGTGCTCCTGGAAAAATACGGCGTGACATTCCACCAGAAAAATCATTTACGAGAGTATACCTGTATAGTACTGTATATGTGGGTTTTAGTAAGTGTAATGGATCCAAATTAAGACTCTAAAAATCGACATCAGCCGTGACAAATAATAATGAATGAATGAGATAAGTAAGTTATAAAGTAATTTTACTACCACCCTAAAAGTTTTACAATTTGTTCTATACGAAGTGTCCTAAAACTACCCTATAATACTACAATTAAATAAACTTTTACATTGCCCGATCTGTCATAGTGCATTGTAGGAATAGACTTTCGTTAGACATTGTCTTGTGCACATGATTGTGATATTCGTATTCCGGTTTTGGCCCAACGTACGGTGGTAAATATACATGGTGTCTAAATTACTCCTCTTAATAAAAAATTATTTTGACATTTAGTCTATTGAAATTAATTTTTCTTAGTGACGAAATTAATTTTCATAGTTGTGAAAATTTTTAGTGAAATTAGTTAAATTCTTTATGTCAGAATACATTAGATAGTATGATTACTTTGCGGAATTCATATATAAAAAAAAACTAGCAATGTCAAAATGTTTGTTGAAATTGTTTTTTTAAAGAAATAATTTAGACACCCATGTATAGTGGTAAAACAATGGTTGTTGAACTTAAGAATTAGATTACCTCATACGATTGTTGTACAGAATAAGTCGTGGTTTCAATAAAAAAGTAAAGACTTAGTTGGCGATAGTGTTAAGTAAAAGAATAAAACTAATTCAAAGGATACTTAACAAGGAGCCAACCCAACTCGACAAATATAACCGCCTCTTTCATATAAGCTGAACGTTGGTTTAAGAACGTATAGAGTTCGGAGTCATTGTCCTGGTTGGTTGAACCGCTCACAACTTATTATAGTAGAACACATTAACACACACATTTTTATGCCTCATACTGTTGAACCTTTCAAAACCGATGTGCATGATGAAGAGGTTGTTAGATTTGAAACATTATAGAATATTAGATTTATACAACAGAAACAGGCTTTATAAATTAATTTTTTATCAAATTTGACAGATTATCAGTTTTGATTATAGGTGAAGAAACTTGAGAGCATGCGGTTACGTCAAAAAGTCTGTAGCAGACATATGCTGTAATAGCTGGCATTTACCGTAACAAACATAACTCTAGGTAATAGACGTAACGTTGATTTCGAGTCTAAAAAGTTTATTTGAAATTAAGTTTTCTAAAAAATAAAATAAATAACGATAAATAAATTGTACGAAAATTAAAAATAAATCTTTAAAAAATTGAGCGAAAGCTGTAAACTAAAGTTAGAAAGTTATGCAATATGCTTTAATGAATCTAATTCTGGTATTAGAACCTACACCATCAGAGTTATTAACTAATTGCGGTTTACCGCAAAAAAAGTTAGAAGAGGTGAAGCCATCTTCAATGAGTATGAACTACGTGGTCATTGATGAAAAAGTAAATCCAGGGCTTTATAGGCAGAGGGGTAAACCTTATAGACTAAGGTCTCATCTTGCACTTCATTATCGAGACGTTCCTACGATTTTGGCTTGATAAGCTTGCATAAGAAAATAATGCTTATAGAAGAAACTATATATCACACATCAAATGTTACATACAATTAATACAATTCAAATGATATGTTCTAATGTCACGACTCAAGTCGTCAAGTGTTACAGTACATGTCAAATGTTATAACATATGCGAATTGTTACGAAGAATGCAAAACGTTACATCATATGTAAGTTGACATTTTTGACGTATCGTTCATATGTAAAGTTACAGCAATCGTCGCTGATAATGATAGTTTTGATCTGTTTGGGAGTTTAACAGTATTATTGTAAATTTATTATCGGAGCAAGCTATTACAACTTTGTCAAAGCGATTTGACTGTCTTTTACAGTAACACTACTTATTAATATTATAGGTCAGATTAAAAATGGCTCTAAAAGTATTTTGACGTGTTGAAATACTCTAAAACTGCAAACTCGAAAGTTAAAAGTCCTGAAATATTTTGGTATACTGTAAGTTCATCGTGACAAACCATAAAATCTTATCAAGGATCGAGAGTTAAGAATGTTACAGAAATTCAAGTTTTAATAAAAGTTAATATTGCCAAAAGCTGTTGCTATTGTGAGCCCGATTTTTTGGGATCACGGGTGCCCGAATCGAAGCGACAATCCTTACCCAATCCAAGGTCACGCGAAAAGTAACGGAAATGTTACTTCTGTTACTTCCCTTATTTCCGTTACTTCTGTTACTTATGTTATTTTTGCGATAAATGGAATATCAACCTTTTATTAGATTTAGTTAATATATAGCATATAAGGAAGATATTACATTTATGAAAGAAATTAATTACAAATGTAAATAAAACGTTTATTATAAATAAAGGGCATTTCTGCCCGGGAAAAAAAGAATAATTATCCCTTCCCTAAAATAATTTCCCGATACCAACAAATTCCCTAATAACAATAAATATCTGCCCCTTAAAAGTGAAAGTTCACCCTTTACAAACTAATAAACTATCGTTAAACCCCATCGTTATCCCTACAGTTCACTAAACCCGCTGTTGATCGCTCGCCGTAACTCACGTGACCAAGAAGGCCGTTGCCGTAATAGAAGAGTTCCGACCCCGATTCGACGTTTCGTAAGTCCGGGTTAAGTCATAAGAGAGAAAAGAAGAGATGGCAAGGGTTAATAGGAGAATTGGTTGAAGGAAAGACTTAGAAGAGAAGATTAGTACTTACCTACGGAAAATCACCCAGCCAAATCTAACAAGCATATTTCGACTTAGCCGCCGTAGGTTACGCGAAAGTTGGATTAGAGCAGCGAAAGACTCACCGATTTACCGCACAACACTATTATTTATATTATTTAGCAAATAATTCTTGATATGTAAATGCAATTTAAAAAATATTAGACTCGTGGCTTTCAAATTTATAATAACAGGCTTGCCTCTTGAAAAGTCTAATTACCAAAAATAAAATATTGTCAGATTATTGCTATTATTTTTTGTTCATCACTTTGATATACATTAATCGTGTGACGAAATTGCGGGTAAATAATCTAGTTATTTATATAACCAAAACAACTAATAATTGTAATAGATAACGCAATTTCACTTCTAAGTGAGGTCATTAAATGTTCATCACAATCGAATCCAACTTAAATAATTTAATTTGTGATTGATCGCGAGAGGGAATCACTTTAGATCGGTCACTGTCTCTACTGTTACTTTAAACTATATAAATAAGTTACCCAGGCAATTGAATTTGTAACAGCCAATCATATGAAAGTCCACTATGAACGCCTAGGTATGGGTACCAGGGCATTATGGTGAATACGTATGCATTTACCCACCTTTTTCTGCGATTGGCTTAGAGATGGGTTTCATGCGCATTTTTATCCCATCAGGATTTCTCTCCTCTCGATCGTTGTTTCTTTTTTTTCCTTTTTTTTATCATGCGATATCATGCGCATGAAACACCCTCGTGCGCATTAATGCGCATTCATGTGCATGTTATTATAAAATGCGCATTTTTCCCATCACTAGATTGGCTAATAAATGGTAACCAATAACCAAAACATTAACTCCGCTTTAATTAACCTTTTTTGCTTTTGCGACTATACGTTCGATAATTTTTACGACTTATCATGAATGGCATTACTCCACAACGTTATTCCATATAAAAATAATTTGAAACAAGACGATTGTTAATTAATCAACACACGCATTAACTTAACCGAATTCTGGAATTATTCAAAAAAAAAGAATCCTAATTACATCATTTAATTTATTAAATATAATGTTAACCATATTTATTGTACAAAAGGTTACTGCATCGTCGCGAAACTACGCCCAGGGCGCTATTTTGAAGTACATAATTCCCGAAAAGTTGAAAAGACCAACCCGAAGAATTTGGTAAAAAATTTTTGCTACTAAATTTAAGTCAGTTAATTATTATATTAGGTTAGAAAGACTTTATTAATCAAAAAATTCACAGAAAAAATATATTAAAATTCCTAATTATTCGGCATATACAGTATGTCTGTAATAAAGATCTCATAGAATTTAGTCATAAAATCTGAAAAACTATGATATTTGACCCTATGGTCCCGATTGGTAAATATTTGCAATTAGCAAATATATTTAGCGCCTTGGCCAGGGTTGAAATGGAATTAAATGAAGTTGCGAATAAAGTGCGAACAAAGCCAATGAAGCTCTGAATGGCACTAGTTTTCTTGTGCACCAAAATTTGGCAACAATAGGGAATTCCTCGTCGAAACTTAATTTACCTGTGATGGTATAGTATAGGAACAAATAATGCAAAAAAAGAAATAAATTCATTCTATTATAATTACACATATTAAGAATCCAGAAAGAATTATTCGTATTATAAATTTTTACGGAATTGTTTCCGAAAATTTTCTACACAAGTTCCTGTTGTTACAAGTTTCTATCATACCTTTTAATGATTCTAATTTCTTATTATTTTGTAAAAGAATGTGTTACTGTTTCATGAAGAAAGGGATCAAATAACTAGAATTCAAAATTAACCTTTTCAAGGTTTTATAATCTATTGGTGCATGAGTAACAAATTACTAGTAGATTCAGAATTTTACTGTTATTTAAACACTGTAAGTACGGCACAAAAAAAAATAAAAACAAAAAAATCTCAAAGCAATCTCAAAAAAAATCTCAGTAGCTATCAAGAAACATGAACTTCACTATCCATCATTTCATCTTTGGCTTCGTTTGCCTTTTGGCCTTTCTTATCTCTAATGCCTCTGCCGGCTGCATTGTAAGCCCCAACTGTGATTGTGATGCTGACAACATTAAAGGATGCGATGCAACAGGCACTATCTCGGGACGTGCCTGTGGCATAGAATTTTTTTGCGATAAACAAACTGATATCTATCAACTCGATGGTAAAGGAAACTTTTGTCACTTTGGTCCTTGTAAGAATGGCTGTACACAAAAACTTCCCAATAGTTTTTGCAACTAAATGTTAGTATAATTAAATATAATTCTCTTCTCTCATGTTTTTTATTATTATTGGTAATGCTGTTGACATCTCAAATTTGTACCATTTTGATCAGTATAATCCAAATTTTCTTATTATTTAATTTTCTAACTCTTAACAGTTCTTTCTTATATAAAATTATATATGCAGTTTAGTTTAACATAAAGTATTGATATAAATTTATCAGATCTATATCCTCAATTCTTATCACATTATAATAGATCACGTTATGATAGGAATTTTTGTTATGAGAAAATGTAAATTGTCAAGAAAAGTTCTTTAAATAAAAATATCAATACTCTTGAGATTAATTATTATTTTATTGAATGCGCTAAAATAAATTTACAAAAGCCTATAAGAATTTAAACAATCTAATGGAACTTAGTAAGCTATAAATCCATCGCTTTGTAGGTCAATTTTCAACAGACAATATGTTAAAGTCTATTTAAAATAGTTACAATTTATATTTAAGCACATATATTATTTGACCCTATTTTCTTTTTTAATGTCAAACTTTAAAAATTATTTAGAGTAGGTCTGCTATTTTCATGTTACTAGCGTTCTTTATATTAGTTGGTAAATATTAAAAAAATTCAGAATTGGTAATTCATATATTTCAACTAGTAATTTTATATTAAGAGATTTATTTCTAAAAAATCCAGTTTTCATACTTAAGCATTGCTAGGATGTAATCCGATCTTATTTTTATGCTAAACCCGATTTGAACCAATTTAAACATTGAAAATAAATCTGGATCACAGTTCTAAATGGTATAAGAATAAAGGGTCTGTATCCCGTATATGATGAGCGAAAAATACTTTAAAGTTCATTTACGTAAAGTAAGGTTGTTAAATGGTGGTCATCAGACATTTTTAAAAGGTAATTGAACATTGTTAAAATCACAGCCTTGCGTTACGTTAGAATTTGGTTGGCTATATAGTAAAATCGATCAAGAACAAGTTTTCGTTGTTACTGCATGATAGTTCTCATGCAAAATTTGAAAAAATAGGCTGTGTTTTCAAAACAATTGTTTGTTTTTGATTTTCCTGATCGTATTATATTACACCAGTAGGTAAGTTACATTGGTAAGTTAATGGTAAGTTACCATCAAATTTAATGGTAAATTACCGTTTACTATGGATACGTATCACTTCACTGACACTCATTTCGTACTTCACCGACATGTTTATTTCACCGAAGCTCATTCACATACAAGCTTTTTTTATACATTCCACTAACATTAACTCTAATTCTAACCTGATCTTAACGACAATGACCAGAATTATTTTGTCGGTGAAATGAGTTTCTGTGAAATAAATTGTCGGTGAATTGAACTTGTCGGTAAAATAAGTGTTGGCGAAATAAACATGTCAGTAAATTGTTGTCGATGAAATGTAATGTCTACAAATTGAGTGTCAGTGAAGTGAGCTGAACTGGATTACTATGTATTGATTTCTGCAAACATTAAGACCAATGGCTGAACAAAGCTTGCTAGTAACTTATCATTTTTTGGTAACTTATCATAAATTACTATAATTTTACAACCCTGACTCCGTTTAATTTTTTTAAATGTTTGCTATTCAGATTTTCACAAAATCCTTTTAAAATCATACGTCATTGATGTATGAATAAAAATATGGTTGCAGTGGAAAATTATAGTTGTAGTTTTTATTTATATAATTTATTTACAGTTAAAGTCATCTCATGATTACGACATTTCTGAATAGCTGGTATGCTTATGTTTTTAATAGAGATGGGTATTTTCACAGTGAGTAACCTTATGATTTTAATATTGAGGCTCTAATTCAACAATTGATTAAGGGTTCTTATTCAATATTGAGTGAAAGAATTAATTGATTTAAATAATGTGTTGTCACGAACATCTGCAAAAAATTATATCTAAGTCTCATATAATATAAACTTTAAAAAACTAAATAATGATAGATTAGGTTTAATACTAAAAATCTTTTTGTTAAGGTTCCAAAAATAGCTTATAAGCAAAATTTATCATAAGTGGTTTGGTTTTATACAAAATTACTAGCCTTTACTCTATATAACCTCCAAGAATGTACTTTTCTTATTGTTCTCTAAGTGCACGTTATTAAAGTTTGATCCCAAAGGTGTGGCTTATAGAGATTTATTATACTTTTATTCTATCTCGAAAGAGGTTGCCTTAAAAAATTTGGTATTTGATTTACCTACCATGATAATAGACTACCTCGAAAGCATATTTTTGATATAATGAAGGTGATAAAAATTATGAAAAATAATGACCTTATAAATAAGATTGATTCTGATGAATCATACTTCGCATTTTGGAAATGCCATAGACTAGGAAATGGCTTGTTCTAATATTGCTGTATACTTCATTGTATCTTACATTTTTATATAGCTTTGATAATATTGAATTATCTTCACAGTTATAGTCAGCTATAGGGAAAATTAAAGCGAAACTTAATCAACTTCCTCCTAACATTATGCAGTTTTATTTCATATTAAGCTCTTATCATTCTCCGACAATTGTGCATTTCTGGCATTACGACATTGCGGCATTACAGCATTGCGGCATTACGGCATTACGGCACAAAAGTTTTACGGCAATTAGATGTTATGCCGTAATTAATTCTACCACGTGATAAAATGTCGTAATGCCATAATTCGGTAATTCTACCAACAACTATAGGGTAACCCAACCTATTCAAGCTATTTCGGCTACGTAGTCTACTACGGCTACGTAGGTCATGAAGGCCATGTCGGGTAATTAGGAGTTGGGAACGAAGTAGTAGAAGTAGCAGACATAGTAGACGTAGCAGATAGAATGTCAAATGTAAATAAAGAATTATAAGATAAATAAAGGCCGTAAAGGCCATAGAAAAGGAGGAGAGAACCGGCCCCTTACATAATAATAAATACATAAACGTCTCCTTTACTACATTAACTAATCGCTAAATCCCTAACCATAAAAACCCGATTCTTGCAATTGTCAGTTCTATCTCAAAGTATTGTACCTTCCCGTCCGGCTGTTGTATCCTAAAGTACCAGGATCAGCCGTGGTTATACCGTCCAATTATCACGAAGGATTGAGGATAGTTGAGGTTGTACGTGTTGTTCAATTACCCGAAGTAGTGAGGTAATTGAGAATAGAGTTAGTAAAAGCACAAGCAAGGAAAACGCAAGACAAGTAAAGAAATACTCACCTACGGAAACCAAACCACCGACCAAATCTAAACGCCTCTTTCCGACTAAGCCAACCGTAGGTTATGCAAGATTTTGTACTGTGGAGCGACTGACTCGCCGTTTCGACCGATTTCACTATATAATAAGTTGTTTAACTAACGCTAAAATTAGTTACAAATTTTCCAAAATAAAATTTTACTAATCCTAAATATGGTTGGCTGCTATATATAGGTCGCCATGGTGGCGGGTTACCATTTATAATTTTCTATTTTTTTTTTATTAAAACTTTAAGAATAGGTTTATAATCATTTTTTACAAAATTTTATGTTACACGTAATTTTCATGTGTTACACTGCAGCTTATAACAAAAATTATAGTGGCAGTGAAAAATGATTTACACAAACAAATTGGACAAAGAATATAATTGAAAGCCCGATGACAGGTTTTCTCTTGGTAACTCTCATATTATCTTTATTATCACTAATGTTATAAAAATTTTTAATAAATTTATCGTTATCATTATTTCTATGACCTTACAACATCTAATATTACATATGATTACAGGACTCGGTCCCAAATCTGAATCGGGACCGAGTCAAATTGTCTAAAATAAAACTCGACTTCTTGGAGTTGAGTCGGACCAAATCAGGCTTTTAACATCCCTAGCTGAGCGTGACCATGCACATAATGCGCACGGCATAGGTCTCTAGTCCAGAGCCTACAGCTTCATCCTCTTAAACATCTGATCATGTACAGTACATGTGTCACAGATCAAATGTTCAGGCGGAAAATAACGGAACTACGTTTTTTGATATTTCGGTTGTCAAATCATAAAAAATATTAATTCTTTGCTTCTTTCCGGGAATTAGTCTCCCGCTTTGCTCCTGAAAAAACATCCTCAAGTTCACGTGATAGACTACAAAAAAATTCAATGTAATGTAATGCGATCTGCTTGTTTTTCAGAAATTTACATAATAAATCACTTTTCATTATTTAAAAAAAATTCTTAAGTAATTTATTATAAGTCCTGCTAACGTTTTCCTAATTTGAACATTTATTTAATAAAAACGAACTTAAAAAAATTTGTCTAGCATCACATGATCATAAAATTTTGGTGGCGATGCCAGGGAAGATTATTTTATAACGATACTAAGCCCACGGTAAAGGAATTAGTAAGCCACAAGTGTCTTAGATACGGAATTATGGTTGGGCGTCTTTGCCCGATTGTTGGCACAGAACCATGACTCATGCAAAAGCATGTCTTTCGAACGCCAATAATGATTTTACCATTTTTAGCCACAATTGTCATTAGTAAAGCAAGCGAGAAATATGCTAGGTTTTGCTGATCATGATTGACAAAATTAAGAAAAAAACTTTTCTATCTTAAATGTCACCTATGAAATTGCTTTTCGTGCTCTAACAAAAAAATTTCCTCTCATAATTTTGGCACATGCTTTTAATTCTAAATTCTTTTTTAGCCTAATCTAATCATCAAAATTATCATCATAATGCAGGCAGATGATCGACAAAACCTGGCACAGATTTCTTGTTTGCTATTAAAATAGAACTTTGGTAATCAAACTTTAGATATTTCCAACTTTATTAATTAATTCAGAAGATAAATAAAGTTTGTTTTATTATCGAAGTTAAGACTACATTAATAGCGATTCACTTTCACATTGATAATAACAATACTTCGATTTATATATAGTATACTAGTTTAACTTCAATCGATATACTAAGACATGTAAAAAAATTTTAAGATCTGATATATATCTCGTTACATGTAGGCCTGGTAAATGTTGTTAATTTGACTGGTCTTCTATATCGATATATACAGCCACAACCTGATTTTAACGGTTGCCAGTCGAAATGAGTAATAATTTCAAGTAAAATATCCATAACCCAAAATAGAAATGTATACAATGTTTTTGAATCATCTATCGATTATGTAGTACATAAACTAAAATGCATTCGATATATGCGTACTACCGGGAATAGTTCAAGGAAATATCAATCGGATGGCTCCTGCTGTATAATTTTGCCACCTATTATAATAATTATAATAATTAATGGAGCTTTTTAAACGGATATCCACTTTTTATTATCTTATACAATACATTTATTTTTACTAAATTTGTAATATGAGACAACTCATTTAACTGTAATATAAAAAATGATTCATAAATTGCACGAAGCATTTGGAATTTAGAAAATATAAATCAGTTGTCATATCCATTTGAATTACGTTGTCATCTCCATTTGAATTTCTCATTATCAAATATTCAAAGCAAATGTATCTAAAGATATACACCACTCTTACCTTTATTGTGCTTGCTTTAATCGGTCATACAATTGCTGGCGATCCTTATGCTCTTCAAAATATGACTTATTCAACTGATTCAGGTTATTACAATAATATACCGGTCAAGATTTATGGTTTTGACGCATATAAAACAACGACAGCGTTAGCAATTTCGCGTGTCAATCCTATTTATGTGTTTCTTCAAAATCCTAACGGTAATATAGATAATGCTATGCAACCAAGCATTGTCGATTTGATTCCTGGAGATGATGGATACTCTGATCTAAAAAGAATAAACATAGTTACTGGGTCAACGAATAGTTCTGGTGATATCACTTCATATGATGATTTGACAAAACTTGGTAACAGTGTAGAAATTGTCCAGACTGATACGTATTACAATTTACCAGTTGGTATGTTCAAAAATATTAAATCTAATGAATGTCATTTAAATCTATATAAATATTAATATCGATATACAAATTTATTTGAAGTTGGTTTTTCTGCGACATTGGAGACTCCTTCTGATGGTCCAGAAATGTTTGGTTACTATAAAGGTGTTAGGGTTCGTTTTTTTAATTTCGGTATTAATCCGGCAGGGAATGCTACCGCACCCATATATCATGTGACTTCAAGCAATGGTACTATAATTGCAGCTCTTCCTGGTACAATACCAGGATTTAGGAACTATAGTGGAATTTGGAACATATATACTATCTCCGCTAATGATACTGGGGTTCCAATAACTTCTTTAAGTCAAGTCTCGAATCTTGAACAAGTTTTTTCTGGTACTGTTTCAAATTGTCCAGTTTCTGTAGCATCACTTCCCAGATCTAGCACTAGTAATTCTAGAAATTCTAGAAATTCTGCAAAAAGTTCTCGAAAATGATATAAATAGAATTTATGATTTTTCTTTTCGATTTTTACTGCTAATAACCGGTAGTGATTATTACCGCCTCTATCTTAGGGTCAGGGTGTAGTTTTAGGGTAAGACAGGGTAGATATAAAGGTTCAAATTTTAGATAGGTTTTTTGGGGTTTTGAACATTTTTACTTAATATATCTAGCCTTGTTTCTTAGTCTTGTTTTTGAGATATTGCACCATGGTGATGATCACTATCGGTTATGGTTAGTAAAATTCCTTTCTTTTAAATGTATATCTATTAAATAAATTATTTTATTGGATATTATATAAAACGTTAAATGACAGGTTTATGATATTTGTATTAAATGTCTTAATGATAAAGTTATTTTTATTACTTAGTGCAAATTTCATGGGTAAATTATTTAAATCGAGCTCTATGAGGTTGGTCTCTAATCATCAGCGGACTTTAAATACCAATTGACTTCACTTAGACTAACCTCATATTGGTACCTCACAATAATTGTTTATTATACTCATGCGTATAATAACTATAGTTGATTAGATTCTTTTAGCACTTGACCGTGACTATCTGCAAGTAGTATAATCTACTGATATATTATTATATGTATATATATGTCGCTTGTCTTTTTTAAAATTTTACTACTTTAAAGGGAAGACTCTAATCTTCATACTATTGTGAGTGGTAGGATGGTAATGCCGGAAGCTCGTTTAAGCAGGTGATCGGTGTGGCGCAGTAATGGACTAACGGCTATGTCGATCACCTACCTAAAATGGGTTTACCGGCTGTATTTGCTGTATACTATGTATCCTATGAATCGGGTGAATAATGGATATCAGTGGGATCAAAGGTATAATTAAAATAATCAATATGATAAGTATAGACATTATAATTAGTATAGATGGGATAATGAATATACGAATAGTATGTATAATGTGCCTTATGTAAAAGAAAGTATATAATAAAGGCTTCAAACCCTACGAAGAAGGATTAGTTGTTCGTGACCCACATAAATTCTGTCCCCTAATAATAAAACCTTGCTTCCATTCCAATATAATACCTACGATCATAACACACCACTCGCCAAATCTAACCGCCTCTTATCGACTAAGCCGTTCGTAGGTTACACGACATATCCGATTGAGAAGCGACTGACTCGCCGTTGCATGTGCGTGTAGCACCCACCTGGTCAACCAATCAGATCGTAAGATCAGGTGTAATGTGAAATCGAAAGAAAATACTGATTTTTCTAACAATCAAGATTTTGCTTATGAAACCACTTTTACTTTCTAATAAAAAAAATTCCTTGCAAAATTTTGGTATAAGAATAGCTTTAATCTGACCTGTCTCAACTCTGGTCCTTACCCGTGTTTTGATTTCACGTTACACCTAATTAGTGTTGTAAGCCGGTTAAGGCAGCTGCAGCTAAGCCGGCTTAGCTGGCTAAGCCAGTCAAGATAAAAGATTCAGCGGCTAAAGATCATATGATTATTTGCAAAGGGTAATATGCAAGGTTTGTTTGTCCGGCAACATCACTTGAAGATCGTCAAATCAAATAGTAACACATATTGTTAGAGGGAAACTCGGTTAGAGCCGTTGCGCAACGATCGTCAAAACGTGACCGAAAACGTGACCGGAAGTGCAATCTGGATCGTGACCCAAAACCAGCGATCGTGTAACCCGATTTCTCCCCATTGTATGCAAGAGAAGCCCCAAGATTCGGAGCAAGTCACCCACGATAATAAGCCTGGGCCCCACATGCAAAATCGTAACTAATCTAAAAAAGGAAGAAAGGATTAGTAGAATCACCACAACGCGCAACAAGGAAAAGGTGAAGATAACTTACCTTCACGGCTCACAACTGAGCCTTAGTACCGCGAAGACGTTTTAGGTTACGAGGCTGTAACTCTATGGGCGGGACCTACAAAAAGAGAAGTTGATGAAAAGAAGGAAACATGAGTCAAAGGATGAGATTGAGCGATTAAAAGAAAAAGAAAATATTAGTACATAAAAACGGAAAACGTTTCCTATATACTTCCCTGACAACTCGTTATAAAAAAATCCTCTTTTTGACATTAAGTGGGGGATAGGATCCATCGCTCCCCTACTCCTGTAATAAAAAAGATAATAATAATAAATAATTATAAAGAAAACAGTTTATAAATTATTAAAAGTGTCAATAGAAATAAACGTTCTTTAAAGAAGTCCCTATCATTACTCAGTAACTTGCTCGAAAGCCGTCTTAACCAGTGCCAAATCATAACTGCCTCGTCTTGCTTTCAAGTAATGTTACGTGACATCAACGAATTCGAAGCGACAATTCTCGCATTTGCTTCATCCTGAAACTCGCCCTATTAGCCCGTAACAACAGTAAATGTAATATAATTTAATACTCACTCCGAACATGCAATGCTATTGACACAGTCGAAACGGATTCACGAGCGGGTATGTCGTGTAACCTATGAGTCAGCTAAGTCGATAAGAGGATTTGGCGAGTGGGGTATTTATTGTCAGAGATAAAACCGACACCCCAAAGAACCTGCGAAGTGATCGTCATAGTGGCATACTTACCTAATTGGTGGTGTCCATGAGGATCCACTTGAAACATGTGTGCCCAGCACCAAGAAAGCCATGTGATAGCACACAGCCTCAATGCGGGACCCCACCACCCTCTCCAATTAAAGAAAAGTCGATCTGGACCAATCTGTTCGCATCACTACGACTGGGAATGGACGTTGACTCTACTTTATCCTTCTTGGGTTAAGTGTGAGGGAATGTTAAGGGGGGATGCGATTGTAATAATTATGTTGGGTTCTGGCCCCGGACGAACGGTACTGAAACATTCTCATCGGTTCTAGAACGTGAGAAATGTTAAAGAAAGACTGTGTGAAAGAGGTTAAAGGTTAAGACAAAAAGGGTTGGAAACGATGGGAACAATAAGAAGAGTCGTGGTCTTGTACGTGCTCTTCCCACGACCAATTTACTATGAAAAGGGTGGAATCTTCCCCTTCTTGTAAAGTAGTCAGAGTAGTACACAAGCCCAATAAAGCCCCTATATAAAAATAATAAAATTTATCAATAAAGCCCTTTTGAACCGTCCAATACAATAAACATTCTTTAAACGTCTATACTTATCTTGTAACGCTCCTTAACGATCGCCTTGACCTTGTGCCAAATCGTAAAACCGCCTCTACCATCTTTGAGGAACGTTACGCGGCATAATCAATTTTCAAGCGACAATCCGTCACATTTGCCCCATCTCTGAACTCGACCATTTAACCCGTGACTAGTGATGGGAAAAATGCGCATTTTATAATAACATGCGTATGAATGCCCATTAATGCGCACGAAATGTTTCATGCGCATGATATCGCATGATAAAAAAAAGGCAAAAAAAAGAAAAAACGATCGA